CTCCCCCACCTTTTTTTTCCCTCTCTTTCTCTCAGTGACATTCTTTAATCAAGTTCATGTAGTCTCAAATATGACAACCCTTTTGGTCCTTATCTGCAGTTACTATGGCAGTGGTAGAACTTTTTTCGATCTCTCCATCATCTTATCGATCCATCTTTATCAAGGAATATATATATATATATATCATGCTGCAAGAATTCTTTTACTGTTGTGTGCTAGGATGAGGGGACAAGGTTCTGGTCTGGTAGAGAGTTAAAACTTTTTTACCTTCTGTTCTGCCAAATGACATTATACTTTCACTCATCGTGAATATGCTTTAGCAAATATAACTTTGACAGCAGGGAGATACGACACCTTGTCTTGACAATTATTTTCTTTTCGATATGCAGAACTAGAGAAACTTCGCATCCTCTTGATTGTTTCAGGGTATTATGATGCAGAGAAGAGCTTCAAGGTTTAGTGGTCTCCTCTTTGAATGCTTGCTCTAATTTTGATGGATCAAGTTGCTCGATGTTGTGTCTGACAGATTATTCTACTTTTGTGTTATACAGCCTGGTGGCTTATTATTAAATTTGTATCTTGGAACAATATAAATCTTTATTTCTAAATTCTCATTGCGACTTATTTTTAGCGGCTTCCTGGGTGAAGTTTTCCTTTTGTCTCATTCGTAAAAGAAAATTTCCAATTTGTTTATGCGAACAGAAGGATGGCTCTGTGTTGTGTGTACTTCTATGAACTGGATGTATGTGATATGGGATATAACCATTTTGCTGATATTCAAGCAATCTAACCATGTTCCTGGCTTTCAATTTTAGAGGGAGATTCTAGTCTCAGCTGAATCTTCTGAGCTTATGAAAAGCCTGCTCCAGTTTATCTACTCCTACGCAAATGTGCTTCCACTCAAAGCTTTGCGTCAATCAGGTCAGTAAGCTATATTTCTCCATATATAACTTTATCAGTCTCAAGATTATGTTTCTGTCTTGAAGCCATATTTCACCAGCTTTTTTGGGTATCAAGAATGCATAGAAATGAAAGTCGTTTATTACATGGAAGTAGGGATTTTTTAAGAGGAAAAGAAAACTAATAGCTGGCTCTTATATATACCCATTACTGTCTTTTTCTTCTGCTCTTTTTCTTTTTTCTTCTTTCCCTTACTGACCCTAGATGCAATTTCATGAACTACCATTTGAGTGTCTAGACATACCCTTTCCCATATGCTGGGTGTGAACTCTTGATGTAATTTTACAGGTCTAGCTACTGAGATGAGGGTGTTCGAGATTGAAAAAATTGTATCAAGGAAGACGATTGAGAAACTTCTGGAAGAATTCAATGAGATAGCAAAATAATATAAAATTTACAGGCCATTCCACATTTGTTGTTGTGTTAAGAATATGCATATATCTCATGTTCCAATAAGAGTCAAGAGTATACATTTGTTACTTTAGTAGTTACAAAGAACCTCTATATCTACTAGTTACTACAGGATGTTTATTTCTCTTCCAAACATAGTCTGTATGTATTGTGATAATACAGCCACATATCAGCGGCGAAGCCAGAATTTTCGCTAAGAGGTGTCAAAATATATAAAAGTAAATATACCAGAAAATTAAGAGGAGTCAATACATAGTATATATACATATAATTTATTTTTTTACCTACTGACACAGTGTAATTTTTCCCCTGAAGGGGTGTTAAAGTGGCTCCGCCACTTCCACATATATGGCGATAATCATTTTATATTTTTGAGTGCTCGCACCAAATATGTGGTGCTTATGCTTTCCTGAGCCGAGGGTTTATTGGAAACAACCTTTCTATCTTCACAAGGTAGGGGTAAGGTCTGCATACACACTACCCTCCCCAGATCCCACGGTGTGAGATAATACTGGGTATGTTGTTGTTGTTGTAGTGCTCGCACCAAATATGTCGAAAGGGGTTCTAATTTTTTCTTGTGGAAGTTACTGCTGGCGATGTTGTTGTCACTATAAGTGGTGATTATCTTTTCTTTCTTGTAAATGCAAGTATATAATGCTCTACCAGCATAGAGTTTCTTTGGGTACTACATGTTTTATTGCAAGACAACTGTATATAATCTTGGTTATCAACCGCCTACTTCTCAATCTATTCAAAGGAAATTGTTACTATGATTGCAGAAACAAGTGAAAGGATATCACCAGGGCTTTTCATTTTCACTTGGGGAAAAATTGCATGCTTGCTGTTACGCAATGCCTTCCTGATGTTCTTTGGAAGGACAACGTAAGGCTAAGCAACCGATGTCAGTGCGGTTGCTGTCCGCCAATGAGGTTTCCTCGGCATGCTAGACTAGATTGTCAGTACCGTGCGGGAAAACCAATGTCATGAGCAATTGCGGAAGCTGAGAGAGAATTGGGTTTTGAATGATGATGATGATTTTATTGATGAATGAAAATGCTGATTACAAAGATGCAGTGTCGAGGGGGAGAGACACCAGAAATGCTTGCTTGAAAATGTTTGATTGTTTGGTCCCCCTTAATAATGCTTAAAAAAAATAAACCAACATTACATGACTAGTCCTAATAAAGCTGTAGAAGCACACTGAAATGGAAATGATGTAAACTAGCCTATGATTACAATGAAAAGGACTTAGATTATTACAAGGTAGAACTAAGTCCGATGGCAGCAACTTTGTCTTGCGGGTTAGGGTCTGCGCGCGCGTTGCTGTGGACGCGCGCGACACTTGATGTGCTGGTCTGAGGCTAGGCGCTGGTGCTTGGCATCAGGGTCTGTGCGCGAGGCGCTGCTGGAATGGGCTTGCAGCTTGGCGCTGGCGAGGCATCAGGATCTGCG